TTTGTCTGCCCTATTATGTACAATGCTGTTTGGTTTTTGCCTAATTTGTTTTAAATACATAGTGTTAAAAACATCAGACATAGCTTTTTTTCTCGAGGTCGTGATTTGCATATCAGTAATAGGTATGGGACATCTACTTGTATGATAGTATGTTATGTTTAGACGAGATATTTGCAATTCTCTTTTTCTTACGTTTGTAATTCTAGCGTTTGTACATATGACGTAGTAAAAATAATCGATAACAATATTTCACACCATTTGTAACATCAGACCTTAAGATTTTACGTGGTACTTAATAAAGATATTTAGACCTATTGATGTTTTAGATATATTAAAATTATATGATCAATATGTAGTGGTACTGCTATGAAACCAAGTTATATATATATAGCTCGACACTTTGGATTTCAGAGTCTGTCTCGTCAAAATCAAAGTTTAAATAAACATTTTTGGAGTTTTTAAATATCTTTTTAAAAGAAATGTAACTTAGTTACAACTCCAAGTATATTAAATAAAATGTTCATGTGAAGCAAGAAATAAGTTATAAATTCTTATCCATCTTCTGGCTGTCAAATGTGCGACTGTAATAATACTAAATATTAACAGTTCAACCGAGAACAGTTTATTATCCTGTTGACTAAAGTGACATTCTGAGGCTCAGGTTCATTGATTCATTGGGAGCGCATATTGCATAGAATAATAGAAATTATCTTAATGAAATGGTAGAACGCTCTTTAGATACAAATTACAGATGTTTCTGTTAGTTGAGGATTCCCAGTGCCGTAGACTTCTAGATTTATAGCACTATGGTGTGTGTTATTAAAAATATTCTCTATCACATGTTCAAAAATTACCGGGGGATTAATTTGTTGCCAGATAGTTACGGATCTGACAAATTAAAACAATATGCGACTTGGTTTACTCTGAAAAATATTATTCATAGGTTTGTTGGTTTTTCGCGCAAAGACACACACGCGAGGAGGTGAACTTCGAATATTAATGTTGTAAGTCTGTAAACCTGCCGCTGACCCACTAGGGAACTAGCTAAGTGGACTGACATACTTTGTATCAGGAAAACTGATTATAAACGGTCATGAAAAAAACTGTCTTTTATAGTAACATTTATTTATGGTAAATAGATGAAGTATAGAATCATCTTATCTCAAAGATGAAAGCAAGTTAATAATAAAATACACTAAAAGTCCCTTGATCACTTAGTCTTTTAATGGTAGCACCATCTAGTGGAGATATTTTCTATTTGTTCCCCGCTCTTTGTGGAGGAACTTATTTGCTTGTACTTATCGTACTTATCTTTATCTACTTTTCAAACAAACATATAATAAAAAATTCAATACCAAGGCAGTCAATACGATGATTAGAAGAACCAACTAAGTTACAATGGCTCTCTCTAATAGCAAACTGAGAACTGAAAGTTTAAAAGTCATTTTAGCTAAGAAAATTCCCCAAATGGACATAATACGTTAAAGTTAAAGTTAAAGATTTCAATATTTTATTTAAACTTGTAAAAGATCTCTGAAAATGCAGCATGATAGTATATATGGTAGAAAGTAAATTGTCCTTAATTCAAACAAAATATGCATTCCTGAACGTAAGCACTACAAAGTATGAAATACTTTCAGCCTGAAAGTACCCCAGGGAAATCTTCCAACTGATCATGTAAGTAGTTTGCTTACGATGAGTTTGTTGCAGAGATGAAAATCGCTTGACTGATATTTCCTTTCTTGTGCTGCATTTCCTGTTTACATTGAATGTAAGAGATGCGGAAAAAAAAGCATATCCCACTTGCTAGCGATGTCTTTGTAAAGATTGCAGTCGATAACCTTTCAGTATAGATTGTAGGAATAAATCACATATAAGTTGTTTCATAATATGTGATCGACGTGTATTGAATTCCACATCATACCACCGACAAAATGCTTTAACAAACATAAAAGTAATTTTCGTATATCATTAGTAGTAACTCAAACGACTTAAGACCGATGTTAGTTTTAACAATTCGGCTGTTATAGAAACTAATGAAAAATCTGGATATTAGCTTACTGGATTTTGAAGTAATTGGAATTAAAACTAATAAAAACTGGAGTGAAGATGTAGAATATAAATGATAATAACACTTTGTACTTTTGTTTCAACTCAGTTGTTTTGAAATACATATTCTACCATTAATAGTGTTGTTTTGTTGTTATTTTTTGAAGTTAAGTACAAAACTACACAATGTGCTATCTGTGCTCTGCTCACCACGGGTATCTAAACCCGGTTTCCAGCGTTGTAACTCCGCATACATACCGCTGTGCCTCTGGGGTGGATACCATTTATAAAGTTACGTAATAAGTAAATAGTTATGAATATATATATAGAAGATAAATGGAACTTTTACGGTATTTTGTTTTACCTTTTGTCGTTATACTATAGTGAGTCGTTGGTTCTTTGGTTCTTTTAACGTTTTGTTTTCATGATTTTGGTCATGCCGTTTTTCGTTTTCAAATATGACTAGAAATATTTTCCGAACTAAATGGTACATTTTATCAAAAAACTGTTTTGTAACGTCTAAATGACATTTTATTTGTTTTTCGTTACGAGACCCTCTGATAGCTCAGCAGTAAGTCAGTGGGTTTATAACACTAAAAATCGGGTTTTAATACCTGCGTTGGGCAGAAAACAGATAGCCCATCGTGTAGCTTTGTGCTTTACAACAAACAAACAAAATCGTTACGAGAAATTAAACGAATATGCATATATTTCGTTTCTGGTTTTTATCAGTGGTTGCGATTCCACGCACACACAGACGCATGCGTGTTTGTTATTATGGGTAAGGAAGGTTTCAGAATGGGTTGCTTGTGGGAAAAAACAAAAACTTATGTTTCCTTCTAATTTCGAATATACGCTTTTAATGCACCCACTAACCTATACATCTGTTTTAAAGGGAACATGTGCATGTTTCTGGGACTCTTTAGAGTTATGGGCTGTATCAATCAGTCATTATTTTAAAATGTTATTATATACACGAGGGCGCTAGAAGTATTATAGTTCACAATGTTTTTCTTTATATAATTAGAGCAATCACACAGTTGTGTTCCGTTCTCTTAGCAGTAAAGCCGGGCCTAGCCTAGCGGTTGTGATTTGGGTGCAATACTGTGGATTCGAGAGGCCGAGGATTACGTCTTCTTGTGCATTATAAGAGTGACAAGCAAATCCCATTATTTTATTACACGAAGATTTAACGTTTTTGTTGGTTCTCTGCCTTCACTCTAAACTATCAACTCAAAAGTAGAGACGGCTAGCGCAGTAATCTTGGGTAGATTTGTGCAAATATCCTGAACAAACAAACCCTAACTAGTTGGAAATTTTACACATCGTATTTAAAAGTGTTAATTCTCTCCCTGCTTGCTGCAATTATTAAGTAAATAATTCTGCTTCATGAAAAATATCTTAAAATTATATAAAATATAAATATTTGTAAAACCTCGTAATTTTTAAACTCATTCTTTCGAATAAAATGTGAATGAATGACTGTAAACAATCATGAAAAAGTTAATAAAATTATTTTAAATGCAACTATCGCATGAAAATAAGCTGTACCACTGTGTAAACAAGTATTAATACGTTACACTGTAATTGGCTGTAATCCAACAGTAACACCAGCATAATGTATATTAAAGTACAGTCTGTCATACTGTTCCCAGCAGTAGTGTGGTAATTGCACTTATGGTTCCCAAGGTAGAAATGCCACATTAAAAATTTGTAGAAATCAATGTTTTGGCTGAAGAAGACTCATTCTGATGACAGCTTGAGGCGAAATGTCTTGTTTTAGTAGGAGTTGTACAGAAACTCTAAAGACAGTTCATGAAACTAATATTATTGATGATAAAAATAGTCTTGAAGAAAGCAAAAAGGAACTTTTTCAAAAGTGATGATAAATAACTCGGGGTATGCACATTACATTTTATACGTTAACCCAGTAAAGATCTTGCCAATAACATAGCTGTTTAGTACAGGCGTGAACGTTATCTTCAAACCAGTATGATAAGATACACATTGGCAAGAAGTGGCGCCAATGGACGTGTAGCTGCTTAAAAGCCACTACTTGGGACCAATAACCAAATAAACATGATTCAATGTTCATCAGACATCAAACAATCGGATGTACGAAACTGGAGAAGTATGCTTTTTTTAGACGTCAGAGAGGAAAACTGGCATCACGGTCAATGTACAAGATCTACAGTGAAGCCTGCTAGCGGACATGTGTGGGCTACATCTCAGATAATAATGTTGGAGACCTATAATAAACTAGATAACCCCTTGACCGCTGATTCTTACCCATGATGTCATGACCTATTTGGTAAAGATCCATCTTCGAACAGGACAGTGATCCAAAACATGCATAAAGGAAGTGAAATGATACTTTGAAGTAAAAGTGGTCAAAGAAACTCTCGCAATTATGGCTTGGCCTATAACTCTAAAAATCAGAGTTCGATACCCGTATTGAGGACAGCACAGAAAACCCATTGCATTTTTGCGCTTATAAACAAATAAACTTTATTGGGTGGTATATAGATCGTTGTGGAAAGAAAGAAAGAAGTGCAGGGATATTAAAACACTAAAAATCAAAAGCTTATTTCGTGGATTTCAAAAATGTTTAAACTACAAGTTAAAACACACATCGAAATAAACAGTTTATTTAATTATACATAGAGTAATTATAGAATACATAGGTTGAACAAACACTAAACGTAAAAGTAAAAGAGGTATGGGAAAAGGTACGAGAAGTACTGAAATCTCTGAATAGTGAAATCAAGCAAAAAATTGCCAAGTCAAGCGGAATTCGAGTTATATTACAAAGTAGTTGACAATGTTTAACCCTAGTTGTTAGACATGAAATGATTGTTTTATTGTTTAGTTGTTGGTTATTAGGTTACTGAAAGACTTAAAGGACATTGCTTGTTAGGTTTATTAAGATGGTGCATGTGACATAAACTTACTTGACCATATACAGAATAGTTTTATCTTTATATAACCAGATGTAGTGGTTGGGGATGGTCATTTCTTGGAAAGTGACTTTCTTGGCGTTCTTGAAGAAAGAGTCCGGTCTCCACATTCTTTTCAACCAACTGACAGGTAGAAGTCGGTAATCGGTAGTCATGTTTTCTGGAAGTCTTAGTCGATGATCCTTCCAGCTCTGAGACATAAAAATGTCTGCCACGTAGGTCTAGATATAAGATTTTACAAACAAAGCAATTAGTAAATTTTGGTTTAGTTGCTGGTTTCCAAAAATGGTCTCTATTTCCACGTGGCCATGTTAACTATGTAGAAAGGTTATAATGGTAGTCCTGTGTGCATTTCCTAAATTAGTAAAGATGTTCAAAGCATCATTCATCCGGGAGTGTTCCCAAATCTATTTATATTCACTCTGTAATGTGATCTGATGAATTCTAGAAATACAAAACTATGTATATATTTATCCTTATAAAACTTGTCCGTTTGATTTTAACGTTTAACTGGCTCTTTTATTGTACTGTAACTTCATTTCAAGTTACCTGCATGACGGACGGAAATATTATCAGTGTTGAAATTTAATACTACATTACTTCACATTGAATAAATATGTGTTAACAAATTAACGTACCATTGCTCCTTCGTTAACAGAATCCAGACTCAACACAGTCACGTGAAAACTAATGACTGTTGGCTCCCCTGCAAAAACGAAATATAGTCTGTATTATTACAACTACGAAACAGTGTATCAAGCAAAAATGATATTATAGGAGTTTAATATAATCAAAGTAAAAAACAACAACATAAACGTTCATACTGTCCAAATGTGAAATATAATTGAATCAAAGTCAAAATTAGACAAAAGAAATGATTCAGTTTTAGTTGACAGATTTAAAACGATCGTAAAATTTATACCTGTATTCAAATTGAGCTCCAACACGGTCTACACGAATTTTTCGTATATATATATTATTTTAGTAAAGTGAATAATTCTCAAAATAAATTCAGTTCAAAAGCATTTAGTTAAACAACAAATTTCCTTTTAAGTAAATCATAAAAACAATGATATTGTTTTAAGCAATTGATAAAGGTACTTTTACAATAAATGAAAGCATTCTGTAGGTCTTTCTTGGATTCCTTTGTATTTGCCCCCCCCCCCCCAGTGGCACAGCGGTATGTCTGCGGAGTTACAACGCTAGACCTGGGTTTCGATACCCGTGGTGGGCAGAGCAAAGATAGCCCATTGTGTAGCTTTGTGCTTAATTACAAACAAACGAACCTTCGCATTTAATTATTTTCTTCATTGCTATGCTTCATAATTAAGACAAAAATCTGACGTTTTATTATTTTCAATAATTTAATAAGTTTTTTATTTTACGAATATATCTCTTGTCAGATGTTTGTCGTTAAATAATTATATTCTTAGCAGTCACTACAGTATACGGAAAAGCATAAAACCATTCTTATACTCCTTAAGGAAGCTTAAGAGCTTTTTTTGTGGAATATTAGCTAAGATATATTAAAAAAGAATAGTACATAAGGTTTACATCGTCATATTAAAACGATTTTGAATGTCCAATCAGCAAGTAATGAAATAACCATAGTTGATATAAAAGCGCGGTGGAAGGAAATGTACCAGAACTACATCACCGAAAATTGATCGTTTTTAGGAAGAGTATACAATAACCCTTTTCAGCTCGAAATATTCATTCACTTAGATCATAAAGATGTGTTCAAACCGGTGGTGTAGAATTTCCAAAACGGGAATATCCCTTGTAGTTAATGGAATTGAAAACAAAACAATATGGATTAACTTGAGGATCTATCTAGAAAAGGACCCGAAACAAGGCGGTCTCCATCTGTGGTAACCAGTGCTGCATCTTGTAACAGATGAGAATCCGCGACACCAAATATCAGTGGAAAATGCCATCTACGTACCACAGGCAACAGTCCCAACGTAATAAAGAATAATCTCCATATGAAAGAGTGACACAAGCCATGTGACGACAAGTCACTTCCAGAATATTTCAGTTCGCCCGTCGTTTACCTCAAGCAGCTGCAAAATGAAACAAGTATTCATACTATTCCATACTAAGGCGTGCCTTTCCAAATGCCAGACGCAGCACCTATGGATTTATATGCCGTCGTACAGTTGAAACGGACATTAGATGGATTATGAAAAGCTGCATAGAATAGTGTAGGCTTTTGACATGACAGCCTTACTATGGGATCTTTCGCAAGTGAAACTATGCAGAGTAGTATTGTTAAGACGCGCGATCGTCAGATAGAGCATAATTTGACATGGCGGCATGAACCGTAACGACTAGGTGATGCTCCAAATTTATTTAAATATAATGTATTTAACCTCTTTATTACCAAATTCGAGAAACATATTATAAAAAGCAAATTCAAAACATCTTATAACTCGTCACTTTATGCAGAAATCTACGTTAATGACCATCCTCTTTATTTTACCATAACGAAATATACTGGTTAAATACATCTTGCATTAATACTAAAGATTCACTATTAACTAAGCATACATAGTAGGAGACAGTTAATAATAGTTGGCACTAGGTAGCGCAATTAGTTTTATGGCTTTGATAGTGTTTTTTTTTTCAAATAAAACAGTTGTTAAATACAATGACATGTCTTTGATTTAGTCATTATATACACATCTTAAATATTTTCAATACCATTCTCCTTGGGTGGTTGAAGTCTGTCATAATCGTTTGGGTTTTCAGGAAGGATGTTATCAAAATCTAAATTCGCCTGACTGAAAAACAAACAGAAACCAAAAGAAAAATAATTAAACAGTTTACTTGTAGAAATTAAAATCGCAAGTATCATTCTGTCTATATTTGACAATAGTAGCCAAAACTAAATAAGTAGGTTTAATATTTGTTGAATAACAAATTAAGTAATTTGTTTTTATCATAGGTACATAATTTCTAAGATTTTTAATTAGTGGCTTAACACCTTTGTTCAGGGAGGTACTAATATATATATTTCTTTTTTTTTTAGTCAAGAGCAAATAAAATTATTGTTTTTGGTGTTATATTTCAATGTTACATAGTACACAAAGTACATGTGTTTTCTTCTGAAGCATCATTGATGTGTTAAATTAATAATGCTAGACATAGTAATATTAGCTCTAAGAATAGTAATGGTTAATTTTGAAAAATCTATGAATATATCTACTTATTTTACATATTAACACAATTGTATCTCCATATTTTGTAGATTTCTTACTATTTTTCAAATTACAGCAATATTTAGCAATAATATTTTTTTGTCTATACAAATACAAAGAATTACGAAATATACATGGTAAGATTTTTAGCACGTTTAAGGGAAAATATACATTAAAATATTTTGCATGAATATCCTAAAACGTAAAAAACGATTAAGGTGTTATTTTAGATTTACGAACAAAAAAAAGTAGAAAATCTTGCGTTATACTGTTGACTGTTTAATAAATACCTTTTGCATGACACAACAAACAGATGCAGCAACACAAAAGAAATCGTTTGCTGTTCCCTCATTATGTTCACATAAACGCTTTAACGGAGATATCTAGAAATTAAATCTGCTTATTAGCATATAATGAATAAAACAATTCCAAATAAAATCTACAAATAACGAAACCATGACAAGTAAAATAAATAAATGTTTTTCTTCTCACTTAAACACACACATACTTTGTTGTTCGGTATTTTCAACCTGAGCAGCACTTTATGCGCCACATCGCTAGAAGCGCCTCAGTTCAGGCACAGTTAACCCTAACATAGAACAAGGATTACAGGTCACCAGCACTCACCGCCTATCAGACAACTCTTAACTGATAGTAGGATTGACATGCTAGAGTTATAATGTCCTCACAGCTAAAAGTGCCGAACTTGTTTAGTGACATCGCTGAATTCATACTTTGAACTTTCCGATCCGCAGTCCGGCAAGCTTGTCATTAGGCAACTACACACATAGGTTTATAATAAGAGGCGTACCCTAGAAGAAAGTCTACGCATAACAAACTTCAAACATCCTATACACTCCCATGCCAAAATTATATACATATGTGTGTGTCTGTGTGTATGTATGTGTGTTTTCTGACATACGTTGACATGTCTTCATAGAGCATAAGTCCGTGGATGCTTAGCTCACGTAAAAGCTATTTAACCTCAGATTATGAGCTTTTAAGTACCTTTTTTTTAAAACATAAGCAATTAATGTACGTAGTGTATTATATTATGTGGTACGTTGCTGCTTAGATCCTACATAAAATAAACATAAATAGTTTTTGTTGTTTCAGAGTCTCTGGAGTACGTTTCTATTTAGTTCCCACGTAAAATAAACATGAATGGTTTTTGTTGTTTTCAGAGTCTCTGGAGTACGTTTCTATTTAGATCCTACATAAAATAAACATAAATAGTTTTTGTTGTTTCAGAGTCTCCGGAGTACGTTTCTATTTAGTTCCCACGTAAAATAAACATGAATGGTTTTTGTTGTTTTCAGAGTGTCTGTAGTTCGTTCCTGTTTATTTTCTACATAAAATAAATATAAATAGTTTTTGAATAAATAGAGTTGTTTAAACATATGTATTACTTGATGTTAAACAAATGTTTAAACAACTCTATTTATTCAATTATGTACAAGCTGCCTAGTGTTGGCTAACAAT